ATTCAGCTACGCTATTCACGTAGCTGAATTTGCGTATCTTAAATCGACTCCCCCCTGTAGTGTAGATGTACCCTCATCAGAATAGCTTATCCCCAAATAGCTATACTGGTCAATTTCTCTATGTAAACAAGCCCTTCAAAAATGGAGAAATCTAGCCACAGATTTTTGAATCAATCTGCTATTAAATGTCACTGCATTGTCACTGCTCAAACTCTTTTACACATTGAGGGAGGCACATCAGATGTTCTGGATTAAGAGAATAGTGTCTCCTCCTGTGTTCTTAAGGTGAAAATCACAAAGCAAAATGGTTCTGCTACTTTAAACAGACAAAAACTTTGCACCAGTGTGAGAGGAGAATGAAGCCTACGCTGATTTGGATAGTTCAAAAAAAATGGTAACAGAATACCCCGCCTTTTACTGAGTTACTGGTCAAATCTAGTCCAGTTCAGTAGTGATCATGAATTGCTATCATCTGATGGCTCTTCAGTGGTATACATGAAATGAACTGGAGGTCTCCGTGGTACTTAATGGACTGGTGTTCCCATGACAAAAACCACAACCAGTATTGACACTAATGGTCACCCTTGCAGGCAGGCTGTGTACAGGGCCCCGGGGGGCATGGAGGCTGAACTACCCTCAGACCTTGAGAGATGAACCCTCCAGGTCAAGGTTAGGCACCAGGGTGGAGTACCTGGCATTCCCGTTGCCTGTGCGGTGATTTAATGGAGCATTTCAGACTCCCGAGCTGAGATTCCATGGCAGCCGGATGCTGTACTGCCCTGGTGGGAACATGAGAAATGTAGATAGACCAGCGATTAGATAAAACAGCTGCCAATCCAGCAAGGAGCACTCATTCTTTTCAAAGCCATTCAAGGAGTGCTCTTGGCAAGAGAACAGCCAAACAGCTCCTCCTACACATGGCGGATACAGACAATGATCAGCCACTGGTCCTTCCTGCTAGAATGAGGTCTCATCCCACTAAGTTCGTGGTAGGTAAATTTAGAACAAATAAAAGGAAACCCTCCTGACAGTGTTCAGTCAGCCACTGGAATTTACTGCTGCAGGAAGTGGCAGTCAAGTGCTAGGGTTGGAGTTCTTTAACTGGCTGGCTAATGTTAGGACCAGTACTAATATTTAAAATAATGCTTGATAAAAATAAGTACAATCAAACCACAAGCTTCAGGGCCTCTGATGACAAGGGTCAGGAAGGAATTCCTTGTCCGCCACCCCGGTACAGTGCTGTGCAATGGGCGAGGTGCATGGTGGGAGGTTTGGGCTCCTCTCTCCAGCACCAGGTATAGGTCACTGCTGAAGTGACCTGCTGGAGTAGAATAAACAATGGCAGATCCAATGTTTCCACTGTATTCAGTGCTCTACTTTATAATGAAAGAGGTGCTGGGGCTCAAGTAATATTTTTGCATTCATAACGGATGCAACCCCAGAGGTGCCTGGGCTATGAACTGCCAAGCCTGGAGGTGCCGGGGCTCAGCCCTGGCACAAATTAAGCACTGACTGGATTGATTCTTGCAGAGACCAAGGACATACTGAGTGAGTCCATTCCTAGCGGGAGCGATACTAGTGTAAAGTGAGGGCTTCATGGAAGCCCCTGGAGTGTCTCCAGAAGGACGGGGGCCTTGGAGCAGAATTGCAACCACCCACGTGGGGCCCGCTCTCATTCCCCACCGTGTAAATCCGGAATAAATCCATTGCCTGTGGGGTGGGGGTGTGTGTGAAAGGGAGTTACTCCAGATCTACCCCAGGGTAACTGAGAGCAGAATTTGGCCCAGTGATTTCCAGCCCTTGGAAACTTTCCTTTCCTTCCTGCCCTTCCGCCAGCAGCTCCTCCCTTGGGCAGCAGCAGGTGCCTGGGTCTCGCCTACCCCGGCAGCAGCAGGGGGCTGTTGCGTTGGTTTCGGCTCGGCGCCCCTGCAGCGGGGCCGGGATCTCTCCCTCCCCCCGCCCGCCGCTGGGGTCCGGCCCCGGGGCCCGCTAGGTGGCTCGGGCGGGCTAGGGAAGCCGGGGGCGGAGGGATTCCCCGGCCGGCGCTGGCTCTCTGAAGCAATCCTCCCCGGGGCGCCGGGACTGGGCGGCCGGCCCCAGCCTCCGCCGGGCCGGCCCCAGGATTTCGTCACCCGGGACTCCAAGTCCGCAGTTTCCGCCCCGGCAGGGTATAAAGGGCGAGACGGCTGCGGCCGGGGCTGCAACCAGCCTGTCGCTGCCGCCGGAGCCGGCTGCTGTCCCCGTGAGCTCAGCGGCGCCCCCGTGCAGAGCCAGCCCGGGATCCGGAGCGCTGCGGGATGGACGCCGGCGGCTGCCCGAGGATGCGGAGCGCGCTGCTTTGCCTGGGTAAGCGGCGCCCTTTGGGGCGCTCCCCAGCGGGTGACATGCCCCGGGGCTGGGGCTCGGAGCAGCTCCGGCCCGGCCCGCTGCAAATACCCTGCGTGGCTCGGTCCCGCGGTGCGTGCTCCGCTGTCACGCGTGGGAGCGGGTACCAGGAGCAGGGCTGGCTCCAGCCGCGCCTCGGTGGCCCACGGGCGGCAGGAAGGGAACGGACAAGCCCCTGCATGTCCTGCCAGCAGCCAGGCACCTGTTCCGCGCTCCCCTTCCATCGCGTGTCAGCAGCCGGGAGGTTCAGAGTGACTCAGGCGGCCGGATTCGGCGGTGCGGCTGTGACTGCAGCCCGCTGATGAAATCGCCCAGGGGTGTTTTCGCTGACGGCAGGTTCAGGCTCACGGGCCTCCTTGGGGGCTGGAAAGTCTTTAGCAAGTGTCGGGCCAGATTTCATCCGCACTGATCGGGATCTGAGACTGGCCCCATGGAAAGCAGTGGCATTGCTTGGGTCGGAAGGTGACAGGGGAGGGTATCGAACCTGGCCCTGGTAGGTGTCCACAAGTGCTCCCTTGTTTTCCACCACCTAATGGTTTTAGAAAATATTAATCCCTTAAGGGGAAAAAAACAATTCTGTGTGCTGTTATTTCTTGTAAGCAGGGTAGCTTGGAGCCCTGTTGGTCCCATGATATTAGAGAGAGGAGGTTCCTGGGGAAATATCTTCTACTGGACCAACTTGGACTCCAAAGTTTCTCTCTCTCTTCAACAGAAGTTGGTCCACTAAAAGATGTTTCTCCACCCACCTCATCTCTCTCTTTCTTGGGATCTGAGCAGCAAGTGGGGCTTTTAAAATCTCCGGGCCATCCTTGCAGTCCCAAAACGCCTATTGACCTCAATGAGAGCTTTGCCTCTGTAAGGACTGTGGCATCCCAGCCTCTAAATCGGGTGTAACCCTCATCCCATTCAGAGAAGATCCTGCAGTCTTTAACGCTCAGTGACCTCAATGGGAGGTTTTTCCCAGGCCAGACTGCAGGGGAAGGGCCTGCCTTCTGCTAAGAAAACGGTGACCAGTTTCCCCTGATGTCTAGATCCTTCACCTTTTCAGTGCGGTGCATTTCAGTAATAAATTCAGTGTATGTCTGAAAGTTTGGCAAAGCGTTGGGAGCCTAAACTGTGCATCTGTAGAGCCGGGATCCATGTTGATGGAGCAATAACAAATGCTTGGACTGCACCTTTGCTGGGCAATGGTAGTGGTGACCCAGGATTATTGCTGCAAACCTGACCAACTAAGAGCATGACTTGGCTTTGGTGCAAGGAAGATCAGAATCCGGCCCAGTGGGAATTGTGCCAAAGTATCTGAGGGCAGAGTTGGGCCCAAAGTGTTTGAAAATGCCATTCATTGCTCTGTAATTCCAAAGTCTATTTTAATGTCTACAATGGGTTGTTAATCGAGACATTAAATAACAGAATTCCATTGTTACCCTACGTCCAGTGCTTTTGAGCCTTCGCAGAGGTGCTTAACCACTTCATTGCAGCACTTAATTACAGTGCAGGTGTTTCATCATCTGCCAAGTCTATTTCAGCATGAGCTCATCAGTTTCTGTTTTCCACATTTACTTCCATGCCACTTTACATTCCAGCCATTATACAACCATTTTATTTGCCAACACATTACAAATAAAGCCATGGCCTTTTTAATCTGGGCATCGACTGTTTCCGGCACAAGGATGACATTGAAATGTGTTGTGCAAATATCTATGAACCTATGTCTCTTTTGGCATGTGTAAAAGGCTAGATTTGACCACCCTTACTCACAGAGGGCCAGATTGTGATATGTCATATTAAATTGAGTTGAATAGTGTGTTACTCTACAAATGGATCCATTGACTTCAGTGGAAGTAAGCTGCTACTCACTGAAAGTCAGAGTATTTCACTCTGGCCTATGGAAGAAAAATGCCCCCTCTCCCCCTGAAATATACTCTAGTTTTGGAGGGGATGTCTTTCCTGTAGCCACTCTTAAACCCTAGTCGATTTCATGACAGAATCTTATAAAAACTATTTAGAGAAATTACTGTGGGCCACATTGTGATCCTCTTACTCATGCTGAATAGCTCCTTACCCCCAGAGGTTGTCCCAGTTAGTCTTTGATGCTGCTTGTAGAAGTAAGGTGCTACTTGGAGAGTCTGGCCCTTTGTGATCTAAGGAGTTTTGGTCCAGAATCTTTAAACCTCTTGAACAATTCCTCAGCTGACTTAGAGCACTAATGTAAAGGTGAAATTGTGTTCCAGAAGGTAAACCTGGAAAGGAATCATTAGCATTATAGCCCTGTGATAAAGGCTTATTTTTACCTACTTGTAGCCAGTCCTGTAAAAAACTAACTAAAGATGTATTAACTAGGAAAAAGAAACGTTATTTACAAGGTTAAAGCAGGTAAACATGCACACAAATGAGATAGACTTAGGTTCTGAGAGATGATAGTAGCTGCTATAATCTGCAAGCTTTATATGTCCTTTAGGGCTAACTCAAGCTAAACAGCTGGGGACCCCTTGCTTATGCTCAGAAATCTTCACCTCTCAGACTTCAATCAGTATCGGGATAATAATTCCTTCTTGATGGGGATTTTTTTCCCGTCCCCAGCATTCACGCTGTGATGGGATGAGGGCTTGTGCACTACCCTCTTCAGAGATGTGGGGAAGCAATCAACAAAGTCTCTTGTCTACTGATGCTCCACAGTCTATACTGTCTATAGGCCTTTTTTTGTTGGGGAGGAGATAACCCCTCTTGTGGTTATTTCACATTTGGTAATGCTTCTGTCCTGACTCTGTGGCTTTACAGTCTTGGCAAACGTGTTTATGGTTACAGAACAAACTCTTAAACATTACCTTATAACATAGGATACAGATATAACATGCAGCATCCTACAAGCATTCCATAAATTTTAAGCACGTTCTTGTAACTCTGATATCTATTTTAACAATACTAACACAGGGACAAGCCAGACAACGATGTGTTTATCAGCGTTCAGTGAGGCCAAGTGGCGTTGGCATGAGCTGGCACTTGATCTGCCAGCGTCACGGTGATAATGCCCTCAATTTGATTTTCCGTAATCCCCACTTAAAGATGCATCTAATTGCACTGAATTAAAATATTAGCTCATCACCACTAATCTACATCCAAATGTAATGCTATGTTAATTAGCACATTTGCATATAAATTAACACGTTCCACTGATGACCGTGGAAACTTTTTCCAAAGACACTTTCCCAGAGGTGCACAGGGAGGAATTCAGACAGCACATCCTAAGTGTGGACATTATAAAATACAGTTACTTTTAATGGGCCCAATCCTGCCTCCTTTTGACATCAAAGGCAGTTTTGCCATTGACTTCAATGGATGTAAGATCAAGTCGCAAGTGAAATAAAGCGATTAGTTGAATTATGCCTTCCATGAACAAACTGCTACCCAGCATGGCCCAGAACTTAGTAGTAAAACACACTCCTTTGTGCCTGCCTAACTTATGCCCCCAAATACTAGCTGTGCCTACACAACTACCTGATTTACACATGTACGTTTGGAACTTGCACAGCTGAGGCACGTGCACACAGTTATTTATGTGTGTGTAGCTTTCGCTCTCTCGTACTGTACTGAAACGTGGGGATGTGTCCTGCCTCACCGGGGTCAGGAATGTTCCTCCATGTTCAATTAGTATATTACTGATGACCAGTAAAACCCGAAAGTGACAAAATGACATCTGAGAAACGATTTCAAAAATAAAAAGATTGCCCTATATTGCCTTAAAGGGGGGTTAAATTTGCTGGAAGGCCGTGACGTATATCACTGAGAATCAGGTCCATTGTAATTGGAACATATTAGAATTACGTTTACCTAAAACCATACTGACCACTCTTGGTAGCTGTTGCATATTGCACGGGTATTACGGGAGATCCCTGGTATTCCACCCTTGGTCTGATTCTCTTCACCCCACACTTGGCCAACAGCAGTAAGATTCCAGTAAGGCAACCTGCAAGTATGACCATGCTAACCTTTCGTAAAGCAGGAAAAAGCATTCCACTTGCATTCCAGCCAGGCAGCGATAAGTGTAAAAGTAACATTCCAGTGAATCAGTAATAAATACCCACCATCCCACTACACTCTGCCGTACAAGATAACAGTATTTGCTTACTGATCAAGGTAACAAACAGGACCCCACCTTTCCCAGATTCCTCATTCAACGCTCGCCATAGCAGCAATAGACACATGCGAGTTGTGAAATTAACAGCCGCCAGCAGGTAATCATTCTGGGAAAGGCTCTCTGCTTCGATCTACAATGCAGATCCCTTATCCACACCCCAGATCTCCTTTGCACTCCCATTGACGTCATTGGGAATTACGTGCATGGAAAAAGGCCAGAATGTGCAACAAAGATCCCCGGTGCAGATTGGGGAGGAGAATTTTGTCCTAATGCCAGAAGATACAAAGGTGTATCTGAAAATGTACTTGCCATGTTGTGCTTTGGTAATGAACTTATTTCCCCGCCTATCTGCAATCGCCTAACGAAGGAGCCTATCAGCTATTCTGCATAGGCAGAATGTGACAAGTTTTAGTCTGGGCTCTGACATTGGTGGCTTATTTTATTTCTTTCTGTTGCTTAACTATGCATGTGTTCACTGTCTCCGGATGTACAGTACTGGGCCACATTGAAGGCAAGTGTTTCTAGGGGCTGGTCCACAGTAACCCCCCACTTCGAACTAAGATACGCAACTTCAGCTACGTGAATAACATAGCTGAAATCGAAGTATCTTAGTTCGAACTTACCGCGGGTTCACATGCGGCAGGCAGGCTCCCCCATCGACTCCACGTACTCCTCTCGCGGAGCAGGAGTACCGGCGTTGACGGCGAGCACTTCCGGGATCGATTTATCGCGTCTAGACAAGACGCGATAAATCGATCCCAGAAGATCGATTGCTTACCGCCGGACCCGGAGGTAAGTATAGACGGCACTTGGTACATCATTCAGGACTAAAGGAAGTTGCAGCTTTTGCACATATCGGGATTTCCCACTCTTTAGTTGGGGTTTTTAGTCAGGCCAGGTTCTGATCTCATTTACATTGTTGGAAATCCATCAGAAATCTCTTAATTTTAGCAGAGTCATTCTGGATTTGCAGTAGTGTCAATGGGATCAGAATCATACCTATGCTTTTTCTTTTTCACCCAACAGAGCCTAATGCCTACAAAGGCTCTAGAGCCTCTTGGGTTAAATTCTGCTTTCTGGTACATATGCACAGCCCCCGTTGGCTTCAGTGGGATTGTCTGTGTGAACCTATCAGGCAGAATTTGGCTTGTGCTAGTCTCTAGAGACTCTATGGAACAGGTGAAACTGGTCTCTTCCATTCACAGAATTTTTGTGGGTGTAAGTGAGATGAGAGTTGGGGTACTGTGTATTGGAGAGATGCCTTCTTCAAAACGTACACATTCAACCTTACCCTGTGGTACAGTAGTGTGAGCCGGGGGCTCACAAACACCCCACTCATTACCTTGGATTTCAATGGCAGCAGAGTTAGGCCAATGTTGAGCACTCTTGGAAAATCTCAGCATCCGTCCCCAACTCCCAGGGGCAAGCATTGTGAGTCAAGGGTCTCATACAAGTAAACCTCCCATTCAGGGAGATATTTACTTGGGGAAGGAGCTCAGGATTTGGTCTGTGTTTTGGCCCAAGTCCTCAGCTGGTGTAAAGAAACATAGCTATGCTGTAATAAATGCAGCAACATTGATTGACGCCAACTGATGATCTGGCTTTTTGTTCCCAAATGGGAATTCATTTGGAAGATCAGGTTTTGGGGTTGTTGTTTTTTTTTTTTCCCAAAAGTGCTGTGGCTAACTCTGCTCCACTCAGTCAAATGGTCCCATTGAAGTCAATGGCCAACACACAGTGCCTTTGAAAAACCCAACCCTAAAGGAAACCCCCCCGGGAAAATAGGAATCTATGCCCACTTTTCCCATTACACTAGTTATACTAGCTGAAGATGTAAGAAGAGTCATAGTCTATTTTTTTCATTAAAATATTGTGTTTCAGAATAGAAAGTGACAAATATATATTTTAAGAGGGACAGAATTGATATGACTCCATGGTTAATGTTAAATACAGAGTACTTAGAAAAGCCTTGTTAACTGACATGAAGTAAAAGAGGGAAGCCTATTAGCAATAGTATAAAATGGAGTGACAGCAGGAAGTCCATAATCATTCTGGAACTGACGTGGCTGAAACATAATAAAACTTTCTAATAACTGGAAGTTTAATAAAAAGGATGATCGAGAAATTATGAAGGCACGCTCCCTTCATTAGGCACGCATGACCTGACAAGTCGAAAGATGCTAGCAGCCCAAAGGCAAAGACTGAAATTACAGACTGCAATGGAATGGGGCTGACAGTTAAACAGTTCATGAGCGGGTTAGCTTGTGACCACAGCAAAAGTGTTAGCAAAGCGGATTTCCTGACCAGTTGGGGCAAAGATTGATTATTCATCATGGGACTTCCGAATATTTGTAAGGATTACTATAGAAGCCTGTGCGGGGATGCACATTCCATTGATAGAATACCTGAAATCTGTATGTGGGCAGCACCTTATAACTCGAAGGATGCCAGAGTGCTTTACAAATTGTGTCTCTAGGATTTGCCCTCACTGCTATAACATGGCCACCTCTGCTGTGTAAAGGCAACAGCCATTCTGTGTCAGCAGTGCTGCACTATGTGGATTTCTGGAGGTGAACTGAAGGGAAATGTACCCAGTTTAAACTATAGAGCTGGAGACGAGTGACACTTTTCCTGGAATCTTGTTCCTATTTCTAAATGGTTCACAAACCAATACACATGCAAATACAGCTGGAATTTTCCAAGGCACTAAAGAGAGTTAGGTGCCTAACACCCATTCATGTTCAGTGGTGGCTGAGAGCCTGACTTCCTTAGGCAACACTGATAATCCCCACCTACATGTGATTGCATACACAAATGGGAGATTTATGTGCATAGATGGCCAGGTAAGTATCTAACTAGCCACTTGAATGAGCAAATACCCTATTTGTGGGCTCAGGCATAATAACCATGTGTGTGGCATACAAAATCAAACTCTTGGTGACCAGTTTTCACCCAGGCATCATCTGAGCAGATGGTGTCCCCTGAACCCCAGAGCAGGGTGTTGGTTCAATTCTGAGTCAGCAGAAAGATGCCATCTGCTGAGTCACCAACACTTCCTGCAGCATCTGGGGTTTCCTTTTAAAACTCCTCTTCAGTTATTGGCCAACCTTGATCTTGTTTGGTTAATGAGCTCTAACGATTAGTCTCCCCATTAACTTCAATTGATCAAGCCCTGGGAATGGGAGCCTAGTGTTTAAAAACAAATTTATTTAGGAGATCAGCTGAAGCTTGAAATGGTAAATGGCAGTGAAGATGTGCACTTTCTCATATTTTGGGTGCAAATTTTGTGTGAGGGGTTCCAGTTGCATCAATGGAGTATGTACATCCCAGTGTGGCATTTGGTACTTAGTTAGATCAGTGTGAGATCCATAGCCCCAGTTCGGCAAAATGTCTAAGCACATGCTTAAGTCCCATTGAAGCCCATGGGATTTCAGCATGTGCTTAAAGGTAAGCATATGCTTAAGTGTTTTTCCATAGTCCGGTCCCATGTCCATGAGGTTCATAACACTAAGACTGCATGGGTCAAATCCTGCTCCCCTTCTCATTCATAGAACCCCAATTCAACAAAGCATTTAAGCACATACTTAAATTCATCCCTACTGAACCTAGCAGTTAAACACAGGCTTAAATTAATCCCTATTCCTATCACTATGTAGTTTGCTGAATTGCGGCCATAGACCTTTAACATGGTGGTTTTATTATTGATTATTGCATTTTAGTATTTGTGTTTGGATTGGTCGATCCTAGGGACCATACCTGTATCTGTTCTCTGGCTATATTAGTAGGCTTATGTTGAGCTTGTGATTAAACTCTAGAAAGAAACGCTCTCAAACGAAGTACTCCAAATACTATAACTAGAAGAAATTCCTCCAATGCTGCTTTTAGTTCTTTGCGCCATTAATAGGAATTTTTGTTATTTGTCTGTCCCATAGGCTTTTATCTATTGCAAGCTGTCTTTGGGACAACAGTGATCCCATTATGTGAACCAAATGAAATGGAAAACTGTACAACAGCACTGAGTAAGTATGACATTTTAACACTGCCTCTTTAAAAACGGGGCCCGTTCAGCAAAAGTCTTCAGTGTCTGGCAATTCCCATTTTTCTCAGGGGGGGGCTGAGCACTTTTGAAAATCTGGCCCATAAACTTGAAGCCACATTTTAAAAACAAAGTGAGTTAATATTTTAGGGCCTGCAAGATGCTGGGGCTCAGAAGAGTTCCGAAAGGTACTAAACATCTGGCAGGAGCCAACCCTGAGTCTCTACTACCTTTTATTAAACCGAAAGTGTTAAATAATTATGCCTCAGAAAACAATTCACTGTGGTACAGTATCCACTGATCTAGCTACCCTTGTACCTTGGGCCCAGAATTCCCAATAGAAAAAACAATCAGGGTGGAATTTTCAAAGCCCATCTCAAGGGTTTGGCTGCCTAATCCCTATTTATTTTAATGGGAATTGTCTTTGCCTAGGTTTCATAAGAATAAATGCAAATGATACAGTTTTAAGAAATGCAGGCACAATGATTGGGGGAAAAACACTAACGAAACATTAACCAAATCTACTTCCAGTTCAGACGGAGAATAGCCCGCGGGTGGCTCAAGTCGCGATAACCAAATGCAAGCCTGAAATGCAAGACTACTGCTTCCATGGGCAGTGCGTGTACGTTGTGGATTTAGATGACCATTACTGTAGGTAAGAGGAAATTTGTAGAATACCATTTTGCATTTCTTCCTGAGTTCGAGTGCATACATGAATTACACGCAGTTGCATGAACTGGCTTTGATCTCTCCTTTCACCTGCTTTCAGACTCTGTCACATGAAAATCAAATGCAATTTAGGGCCCTGATGCAGCAAGGTATTTAAGCACTTGCCTAACTTTAAGCATCTGAGTAATCCCCTTGACTTCAATGGGACTTGAATTCATGAACTGACTGCAGTCAATTGGACTATGCGTGTGCCTAAACTTAGGCACGTGCTTAAATATCTTGCTGAATTGCGGCCTGAACCTGAAGAGGGAAAAACCAAAATAATGGCAAGTGAACATAGGATGGCCCATTATTATAGATCTTAAACTAGTCATTGGTCAATCATTGGGGCAATGTGTAGGTCACTTATGCTGGGGTAAATGAGGAGTAACTCACTGGTTTAAATCCAGAGCAAGAGAGAGGAAAATCTGCCCGACAACTTCTACATACAGCATGTGACTTCCCGAGCCTGGTTTGGGCCAAACGGCCCATTGTTTCTTTATGAGCTTTGCCTCCACATGGCTCTGCAGGATAAGATCCTGGATGTCTTATGACGGCATTACCCTCTTCCCAGAGATGCTCGAGCACTGGGGTTTATTGAGGAAACCAATTCAATCCTAAATTAGAAATGGAAAAGAGCTGTTAGATCGTCTGGTCTTGCATGTGCCATTGCGTGATTGTTCTCTGCAGGACATTTTCTGGAGCTTCCCCATCCATAGTCATCCATACTGACATTGGGTTTCAAACCAGCACAGTGTATTTTTCTATAACTGTGACTCCCTTTGTTTTTTCAGGTGTGATGTAGGCTTCTCCGGGGTCCGATGTGTGCATTCGGAACTTGTCACACAGCACCTGAACAAAGAATATTTGGCACTGACCATTATTTTAAGCCTATTTTTCCTCATTTCAATTTTGGTTGCCACATACTACTTCTACAAATGGTAAGGCGCTCTCATATTTTACTGTGTGCTCTTAAAATATGACTCCGCTTCTCCAGCTAGGGTGAAAAGCTTTGGTTTTAACAAAGATGTCAGATGAGGAGTTCACAAAGAAGTCACGTGGAGCTTTATTTATTTATTTTTGCTTGATTACATTAAGTTTTTCGGATACCGTGCTTGCTTATTACGCTGCACTTATTTACTTAACTCCTTTCGAAAAGGGCGGATTAATTATGTTTGCTTTGGCTACATGATCGTAAATGAAACGTTGGGTTTTTGCTAAAATGTATGATACATTGTTGGCATCAGGAATAGCACTAGTTCAAACAATACACTAATATTCCTCGGGCACAGCTCTATCCACTGAATATAGAGAGAAACTAGAATGAAATCCATCTGGGGTCATGCCCACAATCCGGACAGCAGGAAGTGTGGGCTCCCACTTCTCTGTAAGGACTATAGGGGCAGTTCTATGGAACCACCACTAGATGGGTCACAGACTTGGCTCAGTTATCTACTCCAGACTATGACTCCTGGTGACGAAACATCCAAACCAGACAGGTTTCCACTTTATATATAATCTAAATAACTAAGCAAAAAGAATAAAAGGGGGTTAATATCAAATAACCACCTTAATCTAATTACTAGGTTGGTCCAACCATAACCATTAAACCAATTGTTCTTTAATAAGCTATCTAATAAGTTGGGAGCATGGGATGTTTGTTTAGCAGTCAACATTATCCATCTCCATGCCAATTGGTATTTTTAGATATACTGCAGAATGGCTGAAAGAGGGGTTCACATCACTCCCGGGTTGAAGACTACAGCTCTGATGCCAGTTCAGGCAGCCTCCCCAAACTGTGGGTGGTTAAGTGACCGCAAGTCTCTTCCTCTATCCCTAGGGTTATATGAAATGTTCCAATATAACTCAAGATGACATCATTTGTTGCACTTTAAAATTCAAAGGAATCGCGTAGGGGAAGATAACAACATGATTTCTCAGCATTAAATACGCAACTTCTAATGTGTAATATGTGATCTTTCAAATAGCAAGATTGTTTAACCTAGGGCGGTTGTGGGTGTTTTACCTAGTCTCTGGGTGCTGTTCGCAGTTAAATTCTGTGGGTTCTTTGTGTGCACATATGCACACCCTCTCATTACTAGCAATGTGCTGTAGTTCAAAAAAATTCCAAGGGCAAGAATATTAAGATGGAGGCATCCCTTTACTACCAAAACTTAGAAAAAGAAAACCAACCCCCAAAAGGTCAATACTTATGCAGGAGGCTTGTTGTATCTGCTGTGGTTTAATTCAGGTCTATGATTGAAAAGGTTAGCTGGTGATTTTCTTGGTTCGGTTGTTGAACATAAGCTCTAGCCAGCCCGCAGATGTCTAGCTCTTCATGGGATTTAAGAAAGTGCTTATGTACTACTTTGAACAGGGAAGTTTTTTTTGCTCAACAGCCTTGTAGGATGGAAGCTTCTATGGAGAAGTGGAATAAGTGCTAGAGCTGTTAAGTAGCCTTTTCTTTCAGACACAGTTGTGTGTTTTATTGCTTTTTCTCTGGAGGCAATGGTTTAACAACCTCTCTGATCTTCATATTTCCAGGTACCAAAACAAGAAGGAGAGGCAAGCCAACAACCAAGAATACAAGGAGGTTGATGTCCATGAGAAGAACCCAGCGCTGCTTCCCCAGTGAAGGGGGAGAGAAACACACACACACACACACAGACCAAGAATTTGTCAGCTCGCAGCTATTTAATATTAACCTTATTTTATTAATATTTATATGTTCTAAACAAAACAATTTAAATTTGTATTGATCAGAATCAATATACAGGTCAAAAATGGACTTTTTTTAAGTATAAATATTTTCTTTTTATTTTTAATGTTTTTATTTTTATTTTTTTTATTTTATTGTTGAATATTTAATACTATGCAATGTGGAGAGAAAAAATCCTGCCTCTGTAGGATTATATATAGATATATATTTTTGTAAGAAATGTAAGCTTTTTGCCAGTAATAGCTGGTCTACCAAAATACTTTGTTTTTAAAAAAAAAAAAACAGCACAATTTTGTATTTGTTCATGTGAACATAATGAATGTACTTCTGCTTCTTAAAATTAAATCTTCTAAATTGGGTTGAATGAATATGGTGTATCTCCTGTTGTATACTGTTGTAACAACAGCAGGCAGTTTACCTGATCCATGCACTAGCCTTCAGAGAAGTTTCAGATAATCAGACATGAACACATGGAAAGTACCTCTGGCCCTGTGAAATGTTGCTCCTCTAATCAGACAGATGTTGATTGCTAGTTTGTAGTTTTGGGGGGGAGGGTGTATTGTCATATATTTGTATCATGTTATGTTTCATACCTATGCAGGGGGGGTTTCACGAAAACTAAACTGATGTCTAATATTCAGCTTTCGGTCAAGGCCTTGTTATTGGCGCAATTTTGACACCCATGTGGGAAAGTAAGGAGGTGTAAGATGTTCTCTTACTTTTCTAGGCAGGCTACTTGCTGCCCCTTAATTAGGGGAGATTGGTTAATTTACAATCATTATCACAATCATTTATATACACCGTGAGGACTGTCTTCTTATTCGGAATATTTAAATCACACGTTCCCTGACTCAGGAATGATCTCTTACAACAACTCCATTTGCATTTTGGGACCAATAGGCAACTGTTCTGTTAGCCTCATACCTGCTGCCGGATAGCCTTGTCCACACTGGAAAGGGTTAGCAGGCATAGCCAGAACTTCCAGTTGAGCATTAGAAAGTCTGACCCACACAGGTTAAAGGTGTGGAGAGGTGGCTGTAGCCAGGCACTTTGTCCCTGTATGTGTCCAGTCTGTCTCTCTTCCCCCTTCCACCCCCTCCCCCCCGTGTACATCCCACATATGGAGGCTACCACTGGCTCTTCTCTTCCTGTGACCAGACATGTCTCCCCACTCCCCCCTGCCCACACCAGAACAGATAAGGCACAGCTGGTGGCTGAATGGCCATGGGTGAGAAGACACTGAAGCATATGTTGCTACTGGGTCTGTCATACATGGGGGGTGGAGGGAAGTAGCTCCCTTTGATGGACACCCAGCCAACTAGTTAGCTGTAAAATCCCTCTTGGTCTGTTCTCTGCTTGCTTTACCTGTGAAGGATTCACAAGCCCACAAAGTTTAAAAAAAAAGTAGGGCACCTGACCAAAAGAGCCAATGGGAAAGTAGAACTTTTTAAAACAGGGAAATAAACTTTCCCTTTGGACTCTGGGCTGCAGGGACGGAGCAGGAATGCTGTGTAAGGCTTGAACCAGGTATGGACATTCATCTTCCAGCCCTAGAAGAAATTATTTGGGTAGAGAATGTTTAGTTGGACACAATCAGGTTTATTTTGGCTTGTGGATCTCCTCTGTGCTACCCCTGATGCTTTTGTTTGCTTGTAACCTTTAAGCTGAACCCCCCCAAGAAAGCTAGTTTGGATGCTTGATTTTTGGAATTGCTCTTTTAAAATCTAGCAAAAAATTCCAGATGTAATTTTTTCCTTTTTGTTTTTTTTAATAAAATTTACCTCTTTTAAGAACAGGATTGGATTTTTGGTGTCCTAAAAGGTTTGTGCATGTTTGATTAGCTGGTAGCCACAGCTAATTTCCTTTGTTGTCTTTCTCCGCTCTTCCCCGAAGGGGGGTGGGGAGCTGAAGGGGCTTGAGCGTACCCCACAGGGAGGAATTCCCAAGTGCTCCTTCCTGGGTCTAAAGAGGATTTTTTGCATTTGGGTGGTGGCAGCGTTTACCAAGCCAAGGTCAGAGAAAAGCTGTAACCTTGGGAATTTAATACAAGCCTGGAGTGGCCAGTATTAATTTTTAAAATCCTTGCGGGTCCCCACTTCTGTACTGGGAGTGACAGAGTGGGGAATCAGTCTTGACAGGGACCCACTGACCACTCAAAATGGCTGTGCATGTTGCTTTCTTCTGTTCCCCTCTGCTGTGTGATGCAGCAGATGGCCCATCAGTCTTCATCAACCTCAGCTGTAGCTTCCTAAACCCAATGACGTCTTTGTGGGAGCAAAATCTTACGGGGAACAAACTCTGTCCCATTGTACGTTGGCGTTGCTGCCCATGTGTTCCTCTGGCAGGTGGACTCAAAGCAGGGGTGACAATGACTGCACTGTACTGCCTACCACTACCATGAGTGGATCTCACCGCCAAACTTCCGTTCTTCTCTGGAACAAGGCAGGAGTAAAAAACAAAGAAAAGAGGGGTGCTAGCAAACTGGGTTTTTCTTTTTCACAAAGCTCAGTACAGGCACAGGACACAACTGGAGTTAGCAGAGCAAAAATAATGTTAATGCATAATTAATGGTGAATACTAGTGACACTTTTGCAAACCGTTTAGGCCAAAATTTGCCAGACTTTTACATTAGTAACTAGTAGTTTCAGGTAGCTTGAAATCCTTAACAGACTGAGAGTGCGATTTGGTGGGATGGTGCCGAATTGGTGTGGCCGTACTGAATGAATGGTGAGAACATGGCTCGACATGACTGAACTGCGAAAGAGGATTCTGGGAGCAGAATCCTTCTCTTAGCATCAGGCAGATGCCAGAGGTGAAGCTGACTGGCTCCATGCTGCGTGTATGATCAATACTGATCTTTGGGTCCGCAAATATGCCCACTTGAAAGTAAACAACACGTGTAGAACATCCTGAGCGGCGCATGGGCTGAACCCTGTTGAAGGACATCACACAGGGGGCTGAAGTGAATGATTGATAAGGGAGAGAATGTGGGGTAATGTTCAGTTGGCACCACTCTGCAGTCTCCTCCGAAAGTACTAACCAGGTAAAAATTAGTAGCCACACGCCCACTGGGCATGCTTTTAAGACATCTGACCCTTTTGAGGAAAAAGTATAAAAATCAAGCAAATTAAATTACTGTTGGGGGGAATTCCTTAATTAACGCTTAAAGAAGCAACGCTGCTAGACAGAGTAGCCACAACTCTGCTCCATGGGCTCAAGTAGGATTGTGACCAGAGGGGTCTCCAGGCAGCCAAGGCCTTACCTCGAGGGAATCCGAGACAGGCCAGAGGGCTGAGGAGACCAGACCTGGAGGGAAGAAGAGGTGGTGGTTACCAATTCTATGGATGACTGTTTGCCAAGCAGGAACTGTGTGAGGCTTTTACCGCTGGTGTGATTCCTTCTCAAATAAAGTGCATTGTATGCAAAATAATTACTGTGGACCTTTTTCACGGGTATGACAGTAATCTGCTCCACTGGAAGCCATTAAAGATCCATTCAGGGGCAGTAGCCCCCGGGTGCCAACACAGTTCACCAGCACAAATAGGACCATATATACATCACGTATACAGGAGGGTGTAAGTGGTGCATGGAGTCTTGTGCTGGCCTTCAGGTGAGAATGAATTGGCTTGTGTGTACACTTTCCTTGATACTTGTCAATATAGTGGCATGTATGGGCATTTGGTCCCAGAGCCTCTGCTGGTGTAAACTGGTATCGCTCCACTGAGCAGGGCCAGGGCTTGTCGCTAGGTTATTTGATTTGAATGGCAGTAATGGGTGGGTCTGTTTATTAACAAAGACTGGTTCTAGAGGGCTGCAATGATCACCAAGCCCAGGATTTTACAACAATGGAAGCATCCGCTTGTGCCCAGAATAGAGCCGTGGTATTTGAACCTGGCTGAGTTAGCAGCCAAAGAAAGAACAACTTATTGCCGTAGAGAGAAAGTATATGAATTTGAAGACATGTGGACCCGGGGTCTAGATACAGTTGAATAAAAAAAGTTGAGATGGTGCAAAGAATGCCAGACCGCCACTCCATTAAACCTGGAGCAGTTGCTCTTTTATTGAAGTTTAGTTAAAAAGAAATGGATGAAATCAATAAATATGTTGATTTCCAGCAGCTGAGAATGCAGCACGCTTTGTTTTAATGTTTCCCATAGCATGTCATGATGTTATTGCCATGCATTTTTACAGTGATCCAGGAGTACTATTATAAATGGTAACAGACTGTGGAAAGGGATCCATTTTATTGGCTTTATTATTATTCATGCTGAAGGGCAATAATGAGGCAGGGCAGACTGAGGAGGCAGTGTGTCCTAGTGGCTAGGTGATTAATACACTGGTGTTCACCCCATGCTGGAAAGGAAGGGGTTAAAAGCAGCCTACAGCGGCTACGCAGCGAGCAGCCAATCAGAGAGAGGCTGTACGGAGCAGCCAATCAAGGCCCAGCGGGCTTACATAAAAGGAGCTTGTTAAACTCTGTGCCTCAAATTAGCACCCTGGAAATCCCATGTTCACCACTGTCTGATAATTACATGTTTTGTGAGGTATCATTTTAAAAGTCTTGATCTGTTGAACATTAATATCCTGTTGGGTTGTAGGTGCTCTCCATGTATGTGAAGTTATGAAGTATTGCTAGATGTGTTACTGAAATATTAAATATGTTGTGAGGTTGGGAACACCCACAACCAGCCTTTCAGTTACAACCAAGGAGTAGCTATCAATAGCCAGACAGCATCAATGGCTCATTAACACCCAATCCACTCTCCCAGAGACTTCTCAGTGAAAGCACACACGTCATGGGGCACACTAACCCACATCACAGGAAAGATCTTTCCAGCAAGCTGGAAGAAAGTATGACAGAGAGACAGTGACATCATCACTTCACCTCTTCCCCTTCCCTCCCCCGCCCCCATCTCAACACCTGGAGGAACATCTGGAGAACAAAGACTTTGAACTGGGGAAGAGTGGGCCCAGGCTGGAAAGGGGGTGCAGGCTGTGTATTGGGGACTGTAACCTGCTTGTACCATCTGTCAGGATGAGAAAAGCTGTTTGATTCAACACTTGTTTAGATTAAAAGTTTAGGATTTAGAATGTGGGTTTCAATTTTTATTTTGTAAAGTAACTATCTGTGACCTTTATGCCTGCCACTTATAATCATTTAAAATCTATCTTTCTGTAGTTAATAAACTTATTTTAATGTTTTATCCTCACCAGTGAGTTTGTCTGACGTGCTTGGGGGAAATCTCAGCTCGGGGTACAAAGGCTGGTGCACGTCCACTTTCCAATGAAGAAGTGGCAAACGAGGCCTTGTCTACACTACACGATTTTGTCGACAAGTGTCCGCTTTTTTCGACAAGACAGTGGAGGTGTACACGCTGAAATACTCCTCCTGCTGATGTAACGCCCCTGCTACGCCGACATCATAAAACCCCCTCAATGAGTGGCATAGAGCTTTTGGCGACGTAGTTAGAGCGACACAGCATCAGTGTAGACACGGCACTTGGTTACGTCACCCTAATTGGCCTCCAGGAGGTATCCCACAATGCCCGTCCTGACCACTCTGGTCAGCAGTTTGAACTTGGCTGCCCTGAAGGTACACAGGTATGCACCCCTCCCCGGTTTAAAGGCCCGGGAATTTTT